CCATCTAAAAGCGTTTTCTATACTGTATGTGTTGTACAAATGTACTATATACAAGTACTATATACATGTGCATGTGCGTGTTTTGCAAAACCAGCCGAAAAGTATTATAATACGCTAATTTATGTGTACAGAGGTAGTCTTTATATGATTGAATGCTTCGTATTATAATTATGCGCAGTCACAATGTCAGCAGTCCTATCTGAAAATGATTTATCTATTTGATTGGTACTACATTCTGATAAAATAGTGAACAAAACATGTGATGTTTAAATTGAAAATAATGATACTGTTGTTCTAGTCGCATCCACAATTTCGTTTACTGCCACCGCCGAGCTTTTCAATATAATTCAATATCCTGTCATGAAATGGCCCGCGCGATCCGTTTCTTTTTCAATTTTTCAGCATTAAATTTCGATTTATTTCAATCACCATGCCATTTGCGTCCAGCGAACAGAGCTAAATTGCAGTAAATTAAGCAATTGTAAAGTTAAATTACGCAGCCGTAGACGAGGCCGATGCCGCACTCTTTTTGCTCAATAAGCTTTGCTTGGAATTATTTTGCATTTAAGTCGACGGAGCATTCGCGTGGCACAGGACGAGTTTTTCCATTTTTCCATTTTTCCAATTGACAATTTAATGGAGTCGCGCATTTGCGGGTAAATAGAATGCGGTGCTGGCATCTGAGGTGATTCCGCAAATGTTGACTACTGCTAACTACTGGGGCTATTATGCCGGCCTTCGAGCGGCGAACTTCGAACTGTGACGGTGTATTAGGTTAGAAATTTATGAGCTTGTGGTAAAAGCGGCTTTTATGCTTTACTGCAAAAGAAAGGGACTTATAAGTGTAGATGGGAGTGTGTCTATGTGTGTGTATGTGTATGTGTATTTCTATGTGAGCTCATAAACTGCTTGGCGATAATGGGCGCTTGCGGATTTATGGGCATAGCCTGCAGTGGTTTGTTTTTTCTAAATAGAAGCAACAGTAACGACAACAGCAAGAGGCAGCCGGAAGATGAAAGCGTCTAGTAAACGATGCGACTATTTAAAGCAATTCAATATTTGTGTGCTATGTGCAAAAAGTGAAAGCTGTCTTATCGTATTAATTTCACACCTCCTTGTGTATACATATGTGTGGGTAGATATTGTGTTTATATGAGGCTGTGCATTTGTTCCGCATTCTCAACTGCTATTCTTGTAAACCTTTACAGTGCTCTTGTTGTCGTAACATTTACAAAACAAATTACGATTTTTATGGCGTGGCCTTTTTTTCTTTTAAATTTATATAAGATACATAAAAGTGCCATGTGAGCTCGACACGTGGCAAGTTGATTTCGCGCACAAATCCTTAGGCGCCGCGCCGAAAAAAAAAAAAGAAAATCGTTTGTCTTGCAAGGGTTTTCCGTTGCCTTTATTGTGAATTAATGGTTTATTTATGATGTGCTGAAATATATAAATGCAATGCTGCCCCAAGATTTGCGCTTGTAGGTTTGGTTTTTATTTCGTCAATATTATTTTCATTGCGTTTTAATCAAGTTTTATACGTGCGTGTTGCGTCTTATTTGTTAGCCTTCAGGCCTTGTCGTGGGGAAATTGAATTGAAAATTATTGTGTGTACTTAATATTGAGGGCTTTCGGTACGATGTGCTGCATTGTTATGTTTTCGTACCTGCCAACAAATCTGTTCATTTCATGTGCCAACTACATTTTCACAGCAACGAACGCATTTGCATAACTGTCAGCAAATAATACACAAGCACGCAGCCATGATTTATATAATTCATGGCATAGCGTGTCGATTTGCCAGCATTAATTTGATGACTTTTCCCTGTTATTTTACGACCATGTTTATTTGTTTTGATTTTACGGATTGCTAATTGTGCCTATTAAAGTGTTTCCTTAGCTATGCAAATGCTGCACTTGTAGTTTGATCGATTTAACAGAAACATTAGAATTGATAATATATACATATATATTTATAAATATTTTACCCCAGTTGGTTTGCTTAAGTAGTTGAGTGGAAGGCAAAATATTTATATTTGAGAGTGTTTCAGGAAAATGGAATGAAAAAAATGTTAATTATTGAATCGAGTTATCTAATGCTTACCATTATATTTTCCATCACATCTGAAAAATATTAAAAAATAGTGTATATTGTTGTGTTATGTTATGTAGAAAATCAAATATGCATTATATTTATTTATATATATTTTTTTATATTGTTAGCAATATAAATTTATTTATTATATATGTATATAGTACATAAAATATACCTTTTGATAGAATGTTTTAAATATATGGTAAATAAATATGTTTATGTGCTGGCTTCAATTGCCATATTTTGGTAAAGTCATTCTAACAACGTATGAATATACATGTGCAGTGGGCAGAGAAAACTAAAGCACAAAAAACCCAAATGCAAATTTTAATTATACAAAGTTTGATTGATTTTATTATTTTTCCCAGTAGATAAATATTTGGCGGCTGTGATTTTTCCAACACATATCTGGCTGCATTCATTAATAAACGAAAATGCATGAAATAAATGTGCAAAAGCGGCCTTGTAGCTAAAATATGCCACGGAAAACAAAGCGAACAAAATAAAATAAAAATTATTTGATTATGCAACTTTTGCAAATTCTCGGCTAAAAAAAAATAGGAAAAGTCAGAGCAATTTATTTGTTGCATGCGCTAAATGCTTCGGCTGTATGTATACGAGTAGGTACATATGTATATGCGATAAATGGCTATGGCAATGACACGCCATTTTTGCATCGTTTGGCAGCTGCCATTTTAGGCATAAACTGTAGCATAAATTTAATGTGTTCATTAAACGAGTGTTGCCTACTTTTCAGCGCGCCTCTGATGAATTAATGTGAAACGTGCGTTTGTCTTTTTGCTGCCATCCTATTCTTCTTCTTCTGCTGCTGCTCCGCATTTTGCACTTTTTGTCTTTTCGCTGTTCCGGCTCATTATTCTTGCTGCCATTGCCCCGATTGTTGTTGTTGTTGTCGTTCTCGTTGTTGTTTTTGTTATTGTTGTTGCTATGGCTGTTGTGGCTGTTGCGCTGAAATTGCGCTACTCTTATTATAATACTTTTATGCTGTCGTTTACCCTCGTTCTTGCCGTCGTAACCATTGCCGCTGTCGCTGTTGACTTAGTGAAGAGCAATTAACATGCAAATAGGGCCTATTAGTTACCCAAACGTCAGTCTGTCGGCGACTGCCGCGTTCACTGCCAGCATTCGCCAAAACACCAGCAACAACAACAACTGCGAGTATATCATGCAACCTGGTTGAAACGATGTTCACTTTTAAGCATAATTTTTTTTCACCGGTATTTGGGTCGCTCCTCTTTAATGTCTTACTAATTCCAGTTTGTGCGCTTTGCATTGCCGTCGTCCTTTCATAACAAAAATTGTAATTCGCAGCTGAAAAGGCTCCTTATTTTTGATCTGCTGGGTCTCTGGCTCGTCAGACATACTCGTGTCATTAAAGTTTAGTATTATGCTTTATATGCCAAACTTTGATTCTGAAATTGTTGTGCCCTCTTTTTTGCATTCGTTTTGTAAGCCATTAGGGATTTACTGTGTGTGTTGCTTAGTTCGCTGTGGCAATGCTTCTTCACACGACCTTTAGTATTTTTGTTATGTTTCTCAGTAATGTGGCAATCAATGTTAATTGACCACTTAATTTTGTACATTTTCATTAAGAGTTTCATCCGAAAGTTGCTCTGGAAATTTTCATGAAGTTACTGAAGCTGTCGATTTTCGAGGAAAAATCAGAACAAGTTTGGCATTTCGCATAGCTCGGTGCTTGCATTGATTTACATGCTTGCAAAGAATCATGGACCCGCACATCCAAGTTGAATTAACACTGAAAATATTTACACAAGCAGACATACACACACACACACACACACATGGTCACACACATCCTCACATGCTGGCATGCAATTTATTGCCAACAAGACTGCGCTGGTCAGGCAAGCATTGTTTAAACGGAGCGACACCAACAATGCCAACTTCAACACCACAGGTCACAGCCAGCAAGCCAATGTGCTGCACCCTATCCTCGACCAATATCCCCACCCATAACCACACCCACACCCGCACCCGCACCCGCACCTGTAGCCACACCATTACATACAAACATTGGAGGTACACATTCGCACAATGGCTGTGTGGCTGTGCTGACACGAATGCTGAAGGTGATGATCCGCGTTGATTTATCTACTGGTGCTGAGGTTAAAAGTTTTGCGCAAACTCCCATTGTTTAGGTCAGACTCCCTTTGTATGAACGACCATTGCCACCACATACTCATCCGCACCAACACGTATTCATGGTTGAGCGCAGCCTGCAGCTTGTAAAGCCCACAGTTATGCAAATTTTGAGCTGCGTTGAATAACCCCATGCGCAATTATTCAACTTTCAGCATAGTTGAAGTCATGCCCGACCCTTGTGACTAATACTTTAGCAGCAAACGTTTATTTAATTTATGATTATTTCATTGGTTCGCACTTACTACTCTCCCAAACGGACGAGCATGCTCTGCTAAATTAACCGCATTTTGTTTCTGCTCAAATGGAGCTTCGACAGCATCCTGACATGTGCTCATTATTTACCCACACCGTCTGTAACTAATTATTGTGCTTATGTCTCGCCTTGCTGCCCGTCTCCACCCCATGTACACGGATACGGCATGTTTTTGCGTCTCCTATTGACAAGCTTTGTGCAATATTTTGCTGACGCTTTCCTGAAATCCATCATTTTCTCCAACCGTCTGTGACACGTGCCCCGCAGCCGCCTCATAAATCTTAATCAGGTTTCCGTTAAGTCTGATACTGGGCGTTACCGAACCCTCAGGGCCATTTGACTAATTTGCAGCGTTCATTTTCTAATGCCGCTCGGCTTCTTTTTTGCAATTGGTGCTCCTCTGAAAATAAAACCTTATCTATATAGTACGTAGAAACATTGATTGGTCAAAAAATTATCAAATTAATATTTAATGCTGATAACATTTTTTTTATTGCTTTTGCTGCCTGTTGCTTAAGATTGTGGTTGAAAGTTTAGTTGAACATGTTTTTAAGATCATCCAAAAATTTGTCAAACCAATTTTCACTCACGGTGGTAGCATTGTCTTCAGTAGTGGATAAAGCTTCTGTCGTATTGAGTTCCGGAATTATAGTAGTAAGATTCCATGACGGTATGTCTGTTGTGACGTTCCATTGAGGACCAAGTGTCGTTCTATTCCCAGAAGGTATATCGGTAGTAACGTTCCATTGAGGGCCAAGTGTCGTTCTATTCCAAGATGGTACATCGGTAGTAACGTTCCATTGAGGACCCAGTGTCGTGCTATTCCAAGACGGTATATCAGTAGTTACGTTCCATTGAGGGCCAAGTGTCGTTCTATTCCAAGATGGTACATCGGTAGTAACGTTCCATTGAGGACCCAGTGTCGTGCTATTCCAAGACGGAATATCAGTAGTTGCATTCCACTGAGGAGCAGATGTTGTGCGATTCCACCATGGAACGTCGTTAGTGACATTCCACTGAGGAGCAGATGTTGTGCGATTCCACCATGGAACGTCGGTAGTTACATTCCACTGAGGAGCAGATGTTGTGCGATTCCACCATGGAACGTCGGTAGTGACATTCCATTGAGGAGCAGACGTTGTGCGATTCCACCATGGAACGTCGGTAGTGACATTCCACTGAGGAGCAGATGTTGTGCGATTCCACCATGGAACGTCGGTAGTTACATTCCACTGAGGAGCAGATGTTGTGCGATTCCACCATGGAACGTCGGTAGTGACATTCCATTGAGGAGCAGACGTTGTGCGATTCCACCACGGTATATCACTAGTTACATTCCACTGAGGAGCAGATGTTGTGTGATTCCACCACGGTATATCAGTAGTTACATTCCACTGAGGAGCAGACGTTGTGCGATTCCACCATGGAACGTCGGTAGTTACATTCCATTGAGGAGCAGACGTTGTGCGATTCCACCACGGTATATCAGTAGTTACATTCCACTGAGGAGCAGATGTTGTGCGATTCCAGTGAGGAGCAGATGTTGTGCGATTCCACTGAGGAGCAGATGTTGTGCGATTCCAGTGAGGAGCAGAGGTTGTGCGATTCCACTGAGGCGCAGATGTTGTGCGATTCCACTGGGGAGCAGATGTTGTGCGATTCCACTTTGGTTCATCTACCGAAATGCATTTCTTAAATCGGTCTGCAGCCTTATGTAACTTTGAGAATGCTTTTTCCAATTCATGTGATATACAACGCCTGTTCAAGTTGTGTTGTCCCGGTGTTGACTCGAGCAAATGCATTACCTAATGTGGAACGACACAGATTTTAAGGGAAATCAAATCAAAATGTTGTCATTTGTAAAAGTTCTTGCATTTTTAACTTACCAAGTCAACGTAACAGCTATGTTTCTTTTGGTGAGATCTTGTCCGTGAACATTTTGTGAACCTTTGCTGAAAGGTATTCTTTACTTCTTGTATATCAGAGCTTTGGAAGGACTGAGCTTGATCGACCTGGTCACACTGACGCAACTTCGAACCGGCATCAATCAATATTTCGACACTGTTCACACTATATGTGGCCAAGCAATCAGCTTCATTGGCTAACTCATTTTCGAAATCGGATAAGTTCAGATTTTTAGTAATGGCATCAAATAACAAGTTGGATGAAATAGGAACTTTGCTATTGCTATTTGAAAATACTGGATCGGCAGATGCATATTGCTAATAAATATATTGTACCATTAGTGATATTTTATTGCTGTATTGCTAGATTACTCACAGAAGTGCTGAAGGACAGCAAGCCCACTATTAGAAGTTTCAAGAGACCCTTCATGGTTGTGGGTCGTTTCGGTTATGAGCTCTTTGTTGTTTGGTGTCTGCTTAAATAATTGCTTGCATGTGGTGTTTTTTAAAATGTTTTTTATTATTTTTAATTATCAATAAAAGCTACTCGCTTATCAGAAAAATGAAATTAGTTTACTAAGTTTGAGCCCCATGATAAGGCTTAAGTACGCTGATTGATGATAAAAATTTCTGTGGAAGTATGCAAATAAAGCTTTTGTTTTTTATTTCAAGTAGATATACCTCGCAAAGTGCCATAGATATGGCATGAGTAACATCTACATTGTAAACGACTAGTTGGAAAAGCCCTAACGCAAAAACTGATTGTCTGACGTATTAAACGGTGTTTCCAGTAATCAAAAATATGATGATAAGCTCGTGGGTGCTTAGCGTACATTACAAGTATGTAAACATGTTTCTCAAAGCTCCCGATCACTTCCTTAGAAAAAAAGCTTACAAAGTGCTGTTAAAACAGATCTCCATCGACATCGTCCAGGCAAGCTGGATAATGGGTTTATTTGAAAATATAAGAGGGAAGATCTATAGTGTTTTGGTTTTGATCTTTAACTCGATTGCGAAATTTTAGAAAAAAAAAGAAAATTTGCATTTGGTTTTATTGCAATCGATGTATACGAGGGTAGTCCGTAATATTTCTCGCCTGACAACTGTTTTCAACATTTTTATACCCTGTACCCAAAGGGTAAAAGGGTATATTAGTTTTGTGCGAGTGTACATGTAACACACAGAAGGATGCGTGGCAGACCCCACAAAGTATATACAAGTATATTCTTGATCAGGATAACAAGCCGAGTCGATATAGCCATGTCGGTCTGACCGTCTGTCTGTATGAACGCAAGGATCTCAGAAAGTATAAGAGCTAGAATAACCAAACTTGGTATTCAGATTCTCCTACGCCCGAGAAAGGGCAAGTTTGTTCATTTTTTCCGATTCACCGCCCCCCTCCCCACCCACTTCCCCGCTATTCGCGATTTTCTATAACTCCCGTAATTCTGGGAATTTTTAACTAAAATTTGGTTAGTGATTATATACCCGTATCCCAAGTTTAATTATGATATGTTGATTAGAAAGAAAGTTATAGCCATATAACCAGGCCCAAGCTCTGTCCGCAGCTGTTTTTGTTGCTGCTTTGACACGACTAGACACGATTCTGATGTAAATGTATGTATGCATGTATGGAATATTTATAATTTAATTTATTTATTTAAATTTTTTTAATACTTTTGTTTTTTGTGGGTGGTACAGGGTATTTAAGAGTTGAGAATGCTCGACTTTAGCTTTACTTTCTTGTTTAGTTTTCCCACCTATTCAACCACTTCAATAAATATACGCCGTCCCACTCTTTCAAATATTTGTTTGCAAATGTATAGCCTCCTCATTTAATAAAACGTCGTCTTTTGACACTTTTTGGTGATGTTTTGGCGATATTTTCGTCGGTGGTTAAATTTTTTGGGCATCTCGGGCGTCTCTTATCTTTATATACCTTTTATATCGACAGTAAAATTCAACTGCCCAGACCTTATAGTTGTGCGTCTCATTTGAGCGACAATTTTAACAAAAGCACTGATATCTAATGAGTTAATCGGTTATTAATAAATAACAAAAATATCGATATGGCAGAATATTTAGCGGAAACACATTTAAAAATGTTTTATCACAATACCAAAGTTTGTTTAATATCGAATGTTGTCTTCATGGCCAGGCTAGAAACAATTGCGACTGCCCTGTATTTCGCAGGAACGTCGGAACCTTCATATATTTTCGATTCTAATTTCTGTGATTTTGATTACTGCTTTAATGAAGATTGCTTGGCACGGTAACGTAAATTATATTTTAATTTAAAATTTTTTAACAATAACAGGTACATGTATATCAAAATGAATCGCTTATATTTAGCAGTGATGTAGATAAGAAATTGGCATGAGCAATGTCTATATTGCGGAAGTTAAAATAAAACAACTATTCACTAGAATGAGCTGCTATCTCACGACAGCTTGATAACAGTTTGGGATTTACTTTTTCCTAGAAATATGTATATTTTCATTTGAATGGACCGTTAACAATTGAATAAAGAACATTAGTTGACACTTAATAGATTTGATTTAATAGCTGAGAATGCCGTTATCAACAGTCATAAAAATCTACAATATCTAAGGGATAATGCCCCGATACACAGAAAGATGTAGGCAGAGATGCTAGCACGATTAAGACCGAAAATTGAGAATTAACAAATAAATAATAATATAATACATACTACTATATAGAGACAGATAACTTTTAGTTGATGATAGCAAGAACAATAGTAAAAAGTTCATAGAAAGTCTACAAGGTTTTTAGTAAGTGTAGTAAGTAACTTTAGTAAGAGTATCATAACAAACTAAGAATGGGATCCCAGGTGTCCATGATAGGCAAAAATAGAAATTGAATCGTAATCGGCTTAGGGTAGGGTGTTATTCATGGATTCTCTTTTTGTGGAGAGAATTGTGAACAGTTCTGTTCAAGTACTTTAGCAAACAAAGTTTGGGATAAAAATTGCGGAATCCTATTCATGAGTATTTAAGCATAGATGTAGGAGATCATTCCTTTCCTCTTTGATATCAAATGCACATAGGTATAGAAGAAACAAGTGGATACTATGCTCTGTTGAGAAAGCTATTTGTATTTGCGAATTAAATATGGCTTTTCAAAGCCCATATAATATTTTAAGGCCAACTATGGCTCAACTTTGTGATCATCATGTGACTCCTTTTAAGGCTTCTTAGCTGGCTCGCTCTCATTATGCAGTGGCTTTGGGTGCTCCTCTGGCTTTTCCTTTTCCTGGTGCTTTTCCTGTGGCACTTGACGCTGCAACTGTGCCTTGGCCAAGCAAGTGTTGTAATCGTTAGCCGTTTCAATTAACTTCACCTTGGCCTTGCTAACAGCGGCGCTAATGCAGTTGGAGCGCTGGGCCTGAACAACGGTGGCATTGGTTTCGAATTGAGAACTCACAAGGAGGGCCAATGTGTTGGAGCTATCCAACAGCTGCAGGCTGCTGTCGAACTGTGGGATTAAGAGTGAATCAAGAGAGACACTTCATAAGATTTATATGAAAGACCTACATGAGAAATGGTGCAGTTGAGATACAGTTTATTGTCTGTGATATTCTTGCACCTTTGCAGGTTCTGCTCCAGAGTCAGCGACTGATTGCGAATTGTGGTTACAGTAGCATTGCTTGTCTTGTCGTTGTCGGTGTTGGTACGATTGGCCTCATCCACACATTTGGTGGTGTCGTTTGTCAAGTCGATGTAGATTTTGTTGGTGGCATTATTATAAATATCGCCACAGGTTTTCTCAGCAGGAGACAGAGCCCGGGACTCGATCAACGGCGAGCCCATTCGAGCCACGATCATGCGAAAAAAGCTCTGATCTACGGCATCGTTCCCAGCAAATTGGGGAACTGCGTACACCTAAACATTGAACGAAGTTAGCAGGAACAGAACCTATATCAGTATTACGAGATCTTACGCCCAGGATGCCGACAGCCAGCAAAAAGACTTTTGTTATGAGCACCATATTATAAATCTACGTTTTTTAAGAACTTCGAGTGATTTACTCATTTGTGCTCCAAGCATCAGTGTTTATATACCTTTTTACAATCACTTGGTTAAACAGGCAATTAGTCAGAGTAATAGAGAAAAAGTGATAAGATATGGATATACAAGAGCACAAGTGAAATGTGTAGTAATTAATATTTGTGCAGATTTAATGCATAGTTGTACGGCCTTGAGGCTTAAAAACTCTAAAATAACACAGACAGACAATATCGAAAATCCAATTATTGTTCATGTTCATGCGAATTCGCACGACTTTTTTTTATCAATCACCTACCTCATGGCGCCATATAGTGAGGTGTCAGCAAGTCTGGGTGGTGTTTTATCTAAAACGATAGCAGAAGCTATTTTAAGGGACTGGTTTCTGACTCAGTATGACTAACACAACATTTTTTGCGAACATATTTCAGAGTGCTGGCAGTTTAGCAATAATTGGCGAGTGGCAATGCATATTTTCATTTACTTCAGGTAAATGATCTAGAATTGAATTTTCAAAACAACACTTAAAGCTTCTATTCGCTGATAAAATCGCCAATAAATGTAAGTGAGTTCTTGGAATTAATCAAATCAAATCAATGCTGAAAACCCACTTATCGTTAACATTTTTATATATTCCCATGAACTCGCTTATCAGTGTGAAGTTGAAGCAATAAGTGCTGACACACTACCTCAATTCGCTTTGTCATCGCCTTTAACAGAATACATTTATTAATGCATGAAAATTGTCGGATGTTTGAGGTGAAGTCTCGTGAGCAATAAAAAATAGATTCATTGGGGTAAAGTAATATTTATACCCTACACTCGAAATGTAAACTTTGCTACTATATACATACATATATCTCGAGGAAACGAAAGATTTACAGATTTCTAGTAGAGATCATGATTTTTGGTGGATGTATAATTCCGCTAGTTAACTATAAAATAAAAAAAAAACACAAAACGACTAAGCCCAAGTTTTCAAAATAGCTGTCAGAAATATATCATCTAATAAAAAGAAAACAAATTATCCAAACATTATGCAGTTCTTTAGTTATATTCGTATGTTTTTTCTTTGTTTGTAGTTGCCTGACAAGAAAAAAATGCACAAAGAATTTAACGTTTTATTAGTTTCCCTAATACATTTTCATTGTTTTACTTTTGGAGTACGAACGACCTCTATAATCCGCCATTGCTTAGACACATTTCAGCCAATTGCCAAACAAATTTTAACTTTCGATTCATTTTTCATACAAAAATGAGAATCCACATCGGTTGAGCGTCCCAGCCAAGCTGGCAAAACAATTCTGAAAAGTGGCAAAATTTACTGTTGCCAACAATGGCAGCGACAAATTTATCAAAACATGCATTATGGGCTCAGACAGAGTGAGTATGTATGTATATGTATATACGTACACAGGTATGTATATATGTATGTATGTGGTATGTATGTATGTGTGTATGTAAATTTACTGAGCTATGCGTTTGCCGAGATTTTCACCGCCGGCATTTTGTTGCTGTGCGTGCGCACCCACCTATAGATGTAGATGTTATGATTGTGTGTGTGTGTGTGTGTGTGTGTGTGTGTGTGTGTGTGTGTGTGTGTGTGTGTGTGTGAGTCTCATATATCATGCGACACACCAAACGAGATTTATAAGGTAAAACATTGTACAAGTCGCATCGCTGGCTTCTCTAGAGACAAAAAAGTCGAGGCAGCCAAAGAAAAATTATTTGGGGGCCGCATAACTCAAACGATTAATCAAAAGTACGAGTACAAAGTGCAGGGGTGGCGCTGGTGGTGCAACCAACTTTTGGCACCACTAATGGCTACGCTGCCAACAATGGGCCTCCCCTAATGCAGAAACGAGCCACCAAGAGGCAGACAAGATGAAATTTGTAGCCCCTGATTGTGGGTATGTGTGAGATGGTGTGTGGGGAGGCGTCTCTGGCTGGCAAGCGCATGTGCGCCCCACTCGACACTTGAGTGGTTGGTTATGTTGGAGGGCTCGCGTATGCTACTTGAGACCGAATGCCAATGCCAGCCTCAGAGTCAACACCAAGCGCTAAGCTAGCAGCGGCACTTAAAAACACTCCAAGCTCCAGGTGGGTGGGATGTACACGTATACTTGTACTTTGCTGAAATCACGTGCAAACTTAACAAGCGCCAACTGTTAATTTAAATGTCGGCTGTGGCAAAAGGTGAAAATCAAACCTCGCCAGCCTCACCATTGCGGGGCAACCACAAACAGATTTTTGTTCTTTTCCTAAGCTGGCAACTTTGAATGTGGCAACAACTTTTGTGTTGCTGTTGTTTCTGCTGCTGCTGCTGCTGCTACTGCTGCATGACATGTGTCATGTGTAAGTATGTGTGTACGTTTGTTTGTTGGCGTGAATGCTGATTTGCTGCAGGAGGCTCTATTTATGACTCCCATTATCATTGGACATATCTGAGCCGCGTTTGCTTTTTTGCCTGTCCGCTCATTTTCTCAAGTGGGCCATGTAATAAGCTTCAAGAGTGCCATTTACACGCGTTTTGTAATGTTGGCTGTTGGTTGCTGACTGCTGTTGTTTTTGCTTTTTAAGCCGCTGTTAAGCATTTCCTCTGCACACTTCTGAAATGAACAATGATTTATGCATGAAAAGCTCTTTATCATGTGTCACGTTATCTTTGTTTTAAGCATTGCCTTTCGTTTCTTTCGCTTTTTATTATCTTTCAAAATGGCATTTCATCCCGTTCATACTGTACATTGTTGCATGAGGTGTGGCATGGTGTGGTGTGGAGTGGAGTTTTTGTCACCATTTCCTCATTTTTACATTTCAACCCTCACCACCCCAGTGTTGTTGGCTTTGTTTGGAAATAAACTGGCGGTCTAGACCGTAACGCACAATGGACGTTTTAATTTTGAGAGTAGCTGTAAAAAACAAATAAATAATTCAAGCAGGAATGCCTGCAAATACCTCCGGCATTTGATGTAGTGTGAAAATATTTTATGCGAACAATGGCCACAATATCCAAAGGCTTAAGTGCTATTAAAAATAAATTAAAGAAATTCAAAATACCTACCCATATCCGAGCACATATATTTCTGCATAGCTGCAAACGTTTTTACACGTTCGTACATACTTGTACATAGTACATACGAGTACAGAGCACTCTACCTTCAATTCGTAAACATTTTTGTTTGGAATTGGTGATTCATGCGCCCAACTTAGTTAGTTAATCTAATATTTATCGGACTGGAATCTTCCAATATGCAATTAAATTCACTACACAAAGTAATTACATTTTTAAAACTAAGCTAACTACTTTCTGAGATCTTTGCGTTCATATACACGGACCCACATTTGTACATCAATATTATATAGCAATATTCCTTATAATTCATTCATAATAGAACAGACGAACTGATTTCGATTAGCAACAGCATCAAGTAAACCTATAGTACATTAACCAAACTTTGATGTAGACTTCTTCCATTCCTACGCAACATGCGCTTATAACCTTTCTTTTTGGTTTAATATTTTCTCATACTGAAACATACAAGTTTCTACAAAGATGTCGTTTCCCAGAATAACTAGGCGTGTGATTTCCAGCACTGTGTTAAAACATGCTATATAGTACAGTTAGCATGATACTTGTATATATTCTTGGTCAGCATAACTTTCACACTCCCTCGCTATTAGTGATTGCTCATAACTTCTGTAATTCTTAAAATTATTAAATAAATAATTCTCAAGTTATTTAACAAATTAACAAAACCTCAACTTAGTAATTATGTCATCATATGCCAAGTTTTATCAAGATACTGCGATCGTGCTCACACACAGACACGTATAGACATTGGTGCAGAGTATTTCAAAGTCGGGGCATCCGAATTTAGTTTCTGCAATTGTTACTGCAGCATCGAGTCTTTATTTTTGTATACCCTGTAAGGTAAAAAGGGTATACGAGGTTTTTGCAAAGTATGCAACAATCAGAAGGAGGCATCTCCAATCTTCTTAAGCAGAACGACGAGACGAATCGATATAGCCATGTCCGCCTATCTGGATGAATTGCGGAGACGGTTGAGCCCATACTCACCAAACTTGGTAAGTAGACTCTCCCAATATCCAGGAAACCCTATTTACAACATCATAAGTTGTTGAGAGCCTACTTTTATTGATTCACATCGTGAGAAAAAAATTGTATGCTCGTAAGTACATATAGTATTTATGTAAATGGAAATTATTCTACCATTTGCACACAGCTGCATTTTGTTCAGATGTCTGTGCAAAATGTGCACAAACATATGTTTGGGTGTACGAATTTAACCAGTTTTGACCGTCCCTGCCACTGTACTTCGTTGGCTGGCTTTGTAGCTTTGCACCGACTGCGGCTAACTAAATTGAAATTCATAATGAGTTTTTTATTCAAATTTATACGCTGCGTTGGCGTGGAAACCTTACTTCAGGCCATTTTATTTTTAAATATTTGTAATTCTTTGCTTGCTGTAAAAATATGCACAAATGTTACTGCACAAAAATTTCACATTAAAAAAACATGGTAAATGTTTAACATATAACAAAACATCCAAAGCCGTTACTATTGCTATTACACCAGTGATGTGAAATAATGTGTTGATTTTTTAGCCATTTCGATCGAAAAATCATGTGAACACGATCTGCAATTTGTTCGCCAGCTAGCCAACTAAATGATTTTAATCACAACTTTATTAATATATTGCATTTGCAAGCTTACTCAAATATAAATAATAAATAATAATAATAACTGAATATATTCTTTTGAATAAGTCTAAAGTAAGGAAAGTAGTACTTAGTAAGTAAGGAACTTAGAAATTTGATTAAAGCAGTTAACCTTTTATTAAACTTTTGTAATAATTGTCCTCCAGGGCCAGCAGTAGGGAATTTTAGGAATATATTTAAGCTACAAATCGTAGCAAAAAAATAGTTATCAAAATATAATAACATTATCATCTTTAGTTGACAAACCTAAACAAAGAATTTATTCCATATATTTATGTA